ATAAATTTATTAATAGATAAGTATTATTTTATAAAATAAAATAAAATTTTAAAATTTAAATTATTAAATAAAGTAATTCTCTATTACTATTTATAATTTTTATTAATTTAATAATTTATGTTTATAATTTAATTACAATCTCAACTACGAAATTTTTTTTAATTGCTATAATATTATATCTTTTATTGATTATTTCGCCGTACGCTTGGGTTTGTCGATCTTTTCTCGTGGCCGTGGGGCCTGGAATCAAAATGCATGTAATTATATAAGGTTTTTTTTTTTTTATTTTGCGCAGGTTAAGAGTAAACTAATTATATTTTTTATTAATTATATTGAAAAAATTAAAATTAAAATTTAGTTTTATGTACAGCTTTAATTCAAATCATGCATGTATAATTAGCATTGAAAATAAAATTAAATGAAATTAATTTTTATTGTAAAGATAGATCCGATGTGCCCAATCTCATCTCAGACGTACGACAATAATTCTTGTATAGCTGAAGTGAAGGATAAATCTAAAACTTCTCGCTCAAACAGCTGTATGACAGCAACAATAAGTATACCCGCACCTGATTTTTTATGATAAGCTGCATAGGAATTATGATGGACATCCTTGCATCAGAATATTTCTTAATTTCTCGGTCCCGAAATAACAGTCTGGAGAGACACGTTAGACTTCGAATATCTTGCTTAACATGCCACGTGGGTTTCTCATTGAAGCCTATAAATACCCCATAGGGACCACGTCAAAAAGGTAATTGAAACCAACCCTAAGCTCCTTTTATCTTCACTCCAAAAGTAACTCGATTATTGCTAACTTAATCATCGGAATGTCTATCCCGAGTTCAACCTTGGGGCTTTGCAGATCAATCCGGAGTACAGACGCGGACTGAAAAGGGACTTTTGGTTTGGTGCAATTACATTTATATTTTCAAAATATAAATTAAGAAAAAATAGACATTTAATATACTCTTAGTTTATATTTGACAAACCCAATTATGTATTACCTCCATATTGTCACACTTTTGTGTGATACTAAAAAACAAATTAATAAAAAGTTAAAAGGAGAATTATTAACTCTTCAAATATAAAAATAAAAATGCCCTTTAAATTTCATATTTGCTCTTTCATTTTGTAGGAAAAAATTTATTAAAGACATTTAATATAAGTAAAAAAAATTTATATACATTAAAGAGTTAATTATTTAATATAAATATTTGAATCATTGATCTGAACACTAAATTAAAATAAAAAAATGACAACTATAAATTGCAAGTGAATGAGAAAAAGAAGCAAAGCATTTAATATCTAACAAAATGTGATGACAACTAAATGTCTAATAAAAAATAATACACTTTAAACTGCCAAGTGATAGCTAAATATAATTATCTGCTTTTTTATTAATAATTTAAATATTTCAGTATTAATATTATTTTAATAAAAATAAAATATTTTAAATTCTAATAGTATAGCATGTGGATTGGTGGACTAAATGATTAAAGAGAATTGTTTCTATTTTATAAATTAAGATAAAAATAATTGCCTTTTTATATAGTTTTAAGAAAGTACTGAAGCATAATTAAAAAGGAAAAAAGGAGTTAGAAAAAGGAAAATAACCTAGTTTAGAAAAAAAAATTAGGATGGTGTTGCATGATAATCGTTTTATATTATTTTTTTATATAATTTTTATATGTCATTAAATTAATGAATGTATTTAATATTATGAATCCAATATAAATTAAAAGAACAAATTATTTAAATAATATATTAAGTTGTACAAAAATTATTTCTCAAAAAATTATAGTATATTTAATCTAAGAAAAACGAAAGGGAAATGCAATGAAATTTCTATAAGGCTAAATAATTAATTTTTATATAAAAATAAAAAAGGGCAGAGATAAATTTTTTTTAATTAATTAAATTTAAATATTATAATTTAATTAATTAAAAATCATATCTTTAATTTTT